CTCAGGTGGGGGGGGGAGGGGGAGATGTCTCATTGCTAGCACATCAGGCATCCATGATGTAGATATCCTCTAATTTTACTACTTGTGTTTCACTGTTTTTTTCTTTTCCTACCCTTTTTCCTTGGCTCTTATGTCTTATTTTCAAGTGCCCCCCCCAACACACACACACCAACATAAGGGTGAAAAGAAACTATTACTTTTAACCAAGTGATAGAAGTGTTCCCTAACGTTGCATGTACAAACCTTTGAACCATTCATTTAGCATCCTGGTCTGTTAGGCCCTCTAAAAACCTGTCCTGTCTCCTGTTAGGTTTGTTTTCTTCAGTTAGTTCACTTTTATATCACATATTTTAGTTCTTCTCTGCCTTCTTGTGCCCTGCTTTTCCCTGTGTTAGTGTTATCTGCTACTTCTGTTCAGATTGGGCCCTTCAAGATCTAAAGCAATGTAAGTTGGCCCCATACAGTCAGCTGTCCTCCAGCAGCTTCTGTAGCTTCTCCTTGCCCTTTGCCTTTGCATGCACTACTAATACAATATAGTACTTAACGTTTCTGATACATGTTAAAATAACAGAAACCAAACAGTACCCAGACCATCAGAGTTAAGTGCAATTTTGTAGATGTTGCAGTAGTTTGTATTGATTTTTAACATGTGTTGCTTTTAGAAAGTAAATGGAGGAGGGGGCTGGAAGGATGGCTCTCACTCGGTCAGTACAATAAAGTGTTTGCTTCTTAAGAAGCATGGGAAGCTAAATTTGGATCGCCCGTGTAAATAAAAGTGCCTGTGATCCTAGCTGTTGGGGAAGAGGACTGGCAAAGACAGACAGACCCTGGAACTTAGTGACTGACCAGCCTAGCCAAACTGATGAACTCGAGGTTCAGTGTTTGAAAATGGAATAAGCAGTTGAGGGAGACACTTGACATTGATCTCTGGCCTCCAAATACATTCTTATTGACACATCTACATGAACATTCACACACAAAGTAATTCGTGGTTTTTTTGAAATTGTCAAAGGATCTTACCCTTTTTTCTTGTGCTTAATAAGGCATTTTATACAGCACATTAAAGCTACTGCCATTTTAAATATTAAACATGATGGTGAGTGGACTTATTCCTCTTGGCCTAGCAGCTCAGCTAAATTCCAAAAGTAGAGAGCAGTGAGCAGTCCAAATACAAAGGACATTGGGAGGAGTGTCTTTCTAGCCCAGAACCTGCACTACAACCATGAACTCCTAGTCCATGCTGCACAGCTGGCTCTGTTGACATCCATTGTGCAAGTGTAGTGCCCAGTTCCTCTTAGTGATACCATGGAGGAAAGCACCTCACTGTCAGGCTTTCTTTCCTACTCTCCCTTTTCTGTATTGTATTCAAGACAGGGTCTCTACATATAACCTGGCTGTCCTGAACTCAGGCTGGCCTTGAATTTAGAGATCTGCCTGCCTTTGTCTGCCAAGTGCTGGAACTAAAGGCATGTGCCAACAAGCAGGCTATGGATGCTTTCTCAAGGCCAGCCCCTATTATGTACTCTGCCCAGTCCTGTTAATGTATTTTATTTGGTGGTTAAAGTGGTGGAAGTTAGACTAACTGGTATTTCTTGGCAAGCCATGGCAAACTATCCACACTAATTTGCTGAATGCTACTTGTGGAACATTCTTGTTAGAATCATCTAGAGATAATGCCCAGGTTGGACTTTAAACCACATAGGTAGAAAAAAACAGACAAATAGCAAACATAATCAGTCTGGACATTTACAGTGTTTAGCAGGAATGAGTAGTGAAGCCCTCCAGAAGCTGTCATGGTGGCATTTCCAGTTGAAAGTCCAGAAAGAACATCTCCACTTATGTTCTTTGGTTTCTCAGCCTAACCTAATTTTTTTTTTTTTTCCCAAGACAGGGTTTCTCTATGTAACAGTCCTGACTGTCCTGGAACTCTCTTGTAGACTAGGCTGCCTGCCTTTGCCTCGCAAGTGCTGGGATTAAAGGCAAGCGCTACCACCACCTGACTGAGAGTGGGCTTCTTAAAGATACTGTTTCTCATTGGTTCTTCCACAGCTCAAGACATGGCTGCCCAGTGTGTCACGAAAGTAGAACTACATGTTTCCTGTGACAACCTTTTGGATACAGATTTAACATCAAAGTCGGACCCTTTATGTGTGCTGTTTTTGAACACGAGTGGTCAACAGTGGTATGAGGTAATATTATGTAATTTAGGTGAAAAGCAGTCCACATTTCTATTTTACAATGTTAAGAGTTTATTTTAAAATGTTAAACCTAATACTATAGAACTGGTGAGATGGCTTAGAGGTTAGGAACCCTGGCTGATCGTCCAAATGATTGGGATCTACATGATAGCTTAACTATCTGTAACTCCCATTCCCGGGGATCTGAAAATCCCTTTTGGCTTTTGCAGACACTGTGTGCATGTGGTACACAGATGTACATGCAGGGGAAACACCCACACATGTCAACAAACAATAACAGTACTGCATCATGTCATCTGTTAGTACATTTTTCCTACGTATTTGTCCTTGATAGCACAATTCCTCGTGTTCATCGAGAAATTTCCAAAATATAAATGATAAATAGAGGCTCAATGGCTAGATGGCTCAATGGCTAGATGGCTAAACAAAACAATTTGTGTTTGAGCCCAGAACTCAGATGCTAGGAGAGAACTCTTTCCAGTTTTCAGCTGACATCTACAAATTGTCCCCTGACTGCATACATGCCATGCTACCTGTATCCCCCCACATATATACAGATTTTAAGAAGAGAAATCCCCTTTGGTCTTCATGTTTATGTATAACTATAATTAGTATGTAAAGATGTTAAAAAGTAAAGATGTTAAAAAGAAAAAAACTTTTCTTATGTTTTTTTGGGGGTGAGTATAGGTTGAACGGACAGAAAGGATTAAGAATTCGTTGAGTCCCAAATTTTCTAAGACATTTATTATTGATTACTACTTTGAAGTGGTTCAGAAATTGAAATTTGGAATTTATGACATCGACAACAAAACTATTGAGCTGAGTGATGATGACTTCTTAGGAGAATTTGAAGTTACTCTTGGACAAGTAAGTATTTAGTTCTCATTACCTTTTCTTTTGTCTGGATATTTGTTTGTTTTGTTTTTTGTTTTGGGGGGTTTTTTTGAGATAGAATCTCACTACTTAGCAGGGGTTGGCCTCATACTTGCTATGTAGCCTAGTTTGGACCTAAAATTATAGTAACCCTCTAGCCTCTGCCTCCAGAATGTTGTGATTACAGGAGTGTGCCATCACATCCAGCTATTTTGTATAGATTTTAAACCAAAGAGTTGAATGTTTTTGTTAAATGTTGTGTCTTAATTAGTGTTCTCTTGCTGTGAAAAGATACTATGACCACACAGCAACTCTTATAAAGGAAAACATTTGATTGGGGCTGGTCTATAGTTCAGAGGTTTAGTACATTATCATGTCAGGAAGCATGGCAGCATGTAGGAAGATGGGATGCTGGAGAGGTAGCTGAGAGTTCTACATCAAGATCCACAGGCAGCAGGAAGAGAGAGACACTGCCCCTCGCTTGAGCCTTTGAAACCCCAAAGCTTACCCGCAGTGGCACATTTCTTCCAACAAGACCACACCTACCCCAACAAGGCCATACCTCCTAATCCATATCAGGTAGTACCACTCCTTAATGACCAAGCTTTCAAATATATGAGCATATGAGGGCTATTCTTATTTAATCCATCACAAGTTGTTAGTATAATTTTTAAAGTTAGTAAGTCTGTAATAGTCATCTTGAACTTTAGTTTTAGGTTTGTGTACCTTCCAGGATGACCCCAGTGAGACTCTAGGGCAGTGGTTCTAAACCTTACTGATGCTGCGGCCCTTTTATACAATTCCTGAAGTTGTGGTGACCCCCAACCATAAAATTATTTTGTTGCTAATTTGTAACTGTAATTTTGCTATTGCCCTTTCCCCTGCTCTCTTCTTCTCACCACCTTAAGTATGTCATTTAACTCTCTCTTCTCCCATAAACCTTCAGTGACCCTTTAGACTTCTTAGGGTAATTTCCTGAGCTAGCACTGTCTGTTGTGTCCTTTTATGAGCATGTTCAGGGTAGGGGCTTGTCCTATTGCTCCTAACTCTGATTTACATAGGAAGATCATGATCATTTGTATAAATTGAGAAAAACACAGGGAAATTAGAGTCATTTTTATTTTCAGTGAGTTAGAGTTATTTCTCAGAGAAGCTTTTCGGTTTATTTTCTAGGTTTGAATCACTTGGCAGTCCTACTAGTTCTCATGTCTCAAGGGCAATATGGAACTGACCAGTTGTGTTGTTCATGAGTACTATTTTATAAACACAAGGAGAGGCATATTTTTTAATTGCAGAATTAAAATCACAACATCGCCAAAAGTGCTAATGAATTTGAGAGACAATTTCAAAGAGCCTAGATATACTTTATCATTTTAAGCAATTCATTCGTTTTTTGAGACAGGGTTTCTCTGTGCAGACCAGGCTGGCCTTGAACTCACAGATCCACCTGCCCCTGCCTCTCAAGGATTGAGATTAAACACCACCTCCCCAGAAAGCGATGTGGTCTTTTCTGGAAGCTACATACCAAAGTTCTGTGCCAGTTGGGAAATTGAATCACAGTTATTGAATATTCTGAGGCCCACTTTTACCTTCAGGGGGTTTTCAGGCCAGTGTAGGAGATGAAAATCTGGACTCTTTTTTTCCATTTTGAGGAAGGAGCTAAACTATTAAGGAATGAGTGAACAACCTAATGGGTAAGGAGATAATAGCTGCCAGACATAAGTTATTCAATACCTTTTCAAATGGGTTTTAAGTGTGAAGATGCATTCCAAATGTCTCTAAGGGATATAGTTTTAATGTCACTCTTTCTAATAACTTTAAGTGGGCATTATAGTCAACATCTTTCTTTTAAAGTATGCTGTTCAGCTTTTCATGTGATAAAGTATTGCTTTCTGCTTTTGACAGATTGTTTCCAGTAAGAAATTAACTCGACCACTGGTGCTCAGAAATGGCAGACCTGCAGGGAAAGGGACTATTACGGTAAAAATACTATAATCTTTTACTTCATGAGATAGTCTACTAAGTCTAATAAGACAGTACATAACAAGCAAATAATCTATAGCCATACCTGATCAATTGATTTTGAATATTGCATTCCATTCACCCCGTCCTAATAGTCATCAGAAATGGAAACTGTCTTGCTAACAAAAGAAAACAAATGAATTATAGAAATTCATTTCTTCAGCTTTTTTAAGTTGTCATCAAGGTCAGGTGTACCTCTTACATGGATGTGTCAGTTCATAAGTTAGAGATGAAAGGCTTAGTAAACTGGATGAATCAGTTTGGGTTTCTGCAAAGGAAACATGGTCCTCTTACCATGACACAAACTTCCTATGATGGATTTCATTCTAAATGGATGTTATAACGTGGCCATTGAACATATAATCTCTTGGCCCGCATGGTGGTATATTCCTATTATCCTGGCAGTCAGAAGTCTGATGCAGTAGAATCACCAAAAATTCAAGGCTTCCTTGTCTATGCAGTGAGGTCCTGATTAACCAGAGCTAAATAGTGAAGCTCTGTCTTAAAAATACAAAACAAAAAACAAAACCAAGCAAAAGCTCTAGAGACTTTCCCATGGCTTCCTGTCATTGCTTCTGCTGCATGTCGTCACACCCAATGTTTCCATTGCTCATCACTGGCTCTGAACAGGTGTGTATGTACACTGTACCATATTTTAGATTTCCAGTTATCAGATAACAAGCATTTGAATACCCTATATCTTTAGTGTTTCTGTCAGCAGTGATACTGTTGTAACTGGTTTTCTGTGACATGGAAGCCTGGCAATTACAATTGTCAAGTACGTTTTTCTCAGCAGCTGTTTGTCTCTAGCTTAAATTTCCAGAAGCACAATAGTTAGATGCTTGACTTTTGTTCTACAGAGAATTTTATCAATAGTTAAGACACTGGCTTCACTTCAGATCATATAAGTCTTTTGCCTTTTACTAAGGATTTCCACCAAGAGGAACAGTTCAGAGTCTTAACCCTTTTATCTGTTTTTGGGTCTTTACTATAGTGGAGGCAAAAAACAAAGATAGATGGGATAGCCTGGGATTGGACTTAGGGTAGAGTGACTCTTCAGTTACACTGGATGGTAAGTACTGGCTTCATATTCCAGCTTACAGTTCTCTAGATAGTATTTATTCTTTTATCAATGGTAAGATGCCTAACCTGTGCCACAATCTGAATTTAATCCTCTGTACTGCAAATGAAATAAAATAAAAATAAAGTACTAAGTTCATGAGTGCTTCATTTTCCTTCACTTACCTTATCTATTTGCAGATTTCAGCAGAAGAAATCAAGGATAACAGAGTGGTCTTGTTTGAAATGGAAGCCAGAAAACTGGATAATAAGGTAGGTAGGTTTTGTGTATTTTACAAGGATATTATCAGCTTCTTTTTTTTTTTTTAAGACTTAAGACTGATTCCTTTTTGAGATATCACCAATGCAGTTAGCATGAACTGTTCAGCTGAGCACAGTATTCTTCCTCCTCCTTCTTCCCTTTCTCTTTCTCCTCTGAGGGATGCTTAAACAGAACTTAACTCCCTCCAGCATTTTCATGAAGATGCAATTAAAGATTAAAAGAATGCAAGCATTAATGTTATAGTAAAGTTTCAGAAAGTATTTTAATAACCTTTGGGGGAAACAAAAAGCCTGTGGCTTATTAATTATAAATTAGTTTATACATTTCTTTTTACATTTCAATACTGAATACACAACAGTATACAGTGTTCTTCACCATTTTTGTTTATCTTAGAACTTTATTTGAAAGTGTCTTAAGACTAGTTTCGAACCACTTTAAAAATTAACATAACATTAATAGAATAGCATTTTTAAAAATATCATATTGCCTTGTGTAGTCATATACACCTTTAATCCTAGCACTTGGGAGGCAGAGGCAGGAAGATTCCTGAGTTCACCAGCCTAGTCTACAGAACGAGTTCCAGACCAGCCATTGCTACATAGTGAAGGTGGTACCCTGTCTCAAAACAAAACAAAACAAAAAAACATCCAAAAGCCAGGTGGTGATGGTGTACACCTTTAGTCCAGTACTGGGAGGCAAAGGAAGGCAGATGTTTATGAGCTTGAAGCCAGCCTGTCCTATTTCCAGGACAACAAGGGCTACACAGAGAAACCCTGTCTCGAAAAAACAAAGCAAAACAAAAAACAACAATAACAGCCAAAAAAATCCAATAAATAGCACGTTTCTGTCACCCATCTCAGAAAGCTTTGATTTATGGTGAATTTTGGTTGTCTTTACCCATTTTCCCTCTTCCCAGATACCATGTTATAAATTTGCCCATTTTTTTTTTTTTTTTTTTTTTTTTTTTTTTGTCGAGACAGGGTTTCTCTGTGGCTTTGGAGACTGTCCTGGAAAACTAGCTCTTGTAGACCAGGCTGGTCTCGAACTCACAGAGATCCTCCTGCCTCTGCCTCCCGAGTGCTGGGATGAAAGGCGTGCGCCACCACCGCCCGGCTTTTGGTGTGTTTCTAAAGACACTTTAAAGTGTAATTATTTAAAATGCCTCTTAAGATAAGTTTTGATCTGTAAATTCTTATGTCTTTTCTTGTCGTCTATCTCTCACTCCCTCCTTCCTTTCTTCCCCACCCCACATTCATTCTTCTGCCTATCCATACAGTTAGGAAACAGATTCCTAACTGTACATTCAGTATATGGCTTAATAAGTCCCTGTGTCATTTCTCACTTTATTCTCTGTTTCCTGGTTTCAGTAAGTTGATCTGATGGTGTTTTGCATTGTTGGAAAGACAATTTGTTTTTGTTTTTTTCCAGAATTTTTTTATTTGAATTAGAAACAAGATTGTTTTCCATGACAATCCCAGTTCCCTTCTCCCTCCCCCTCCCGTCCTCCCCACCCATCCCCCCAACTAAAACCCTACCTATCACATACCCTTTCTTCTATTCTTCCCCTGACTCAACCTTTCTGCTCCCTCATGACCTCTGCATCCTTCCTCTTCTTCCCTTCTCATTTTCGTAACTCCTTCCCCCCAATTCCCGCACTCTCAATTTGCTCATGGATTCTTGCCCCTTTCCTCTTCTCCAGGGGACCATGTATGTCTCTTTTAGGGTCCTCCTTGTTTCCATAGAGTCATCTTAAGGTCAAACAGTTACAGGCCTAATTCTCATAATTCAGAGACTGTCCATGTGTACAAATACATATGTAGGAAATAACTTGCATAAAATCCACATATGAGTGAGTACATACCATGTTTGTCTTTTTGTGATTGGGTTACCTCGCTCAGAATGGTTTCTTCGAATTCCATCCATTTTCCTTCAGATTTCAAGATTCTATTGTTTTTTTCGCTGAGTAGTACTCCATTGTGTAAATGTACCACATTTTCT